TATCCTCCAGGCCTGGTGGGCCAGGGGCCTTCTGTTTTAAAGAGTGGATGTGAGGAGCTAAGGGGTTTACCATAGGTTCCTTCCTTGGTTTGTCTGTGAGTTGTGGTATGCTTCTCCTGTGGGCTATGTTATACTTATTGAGCTTCGTTAATGATCTAGTATTATAAATGTATACTTATGAACTCTTCCTTACTATCGTTTCTGTTTGACATTGCTGTATAAGTTCAAGTATACCCCCCCAAAAGTTATCTGTGCATGTTTTCAGTGATCCTAAGGCTAATTTAGAGTATATTTAATTCTGACTAGATATTTTGACTTAGCCTCTGAATGAAATGCAATTTTTTTTCTTGTTTTAATATAGCAATAAAAGATTACAGAGGGGAACTCCTCTGGACACTCTCTAAAGATGATTACTTCAAGCTGTGATTCATTTGGGTAAATGCTTTGCAGGTCACATAAACAGTATTAATTTGCCTAGCTTAATCCAATTTTATCCTTATATTATAGAGCTTAATTTTAGCTTAAACAGTAATGTATAATGGATTTAATTTTAAATTATTGTACCTTCCTGTGTTTTTATATTAAAAAGCTATGCATACTTATCGTAGAAAGTTTCTCATAATACCAAAAAGTGTAAATCAGAGAGTAAAAAAGAGCCCCATAATTTAGAGTTGAAAAGGAATGCTAAAACTTCATACCTTCTTGTTTGAGTTGCACTGAAACATTTCAACTCCAACCCAAATAAACATTGATACTTGGCCTCTTGGGAGATGAGATTTCCTAATACTTTTAACACCTTGTATAATAGCGGAGATTTTTTGGCAAGGGTGAAATAAACACTTGGGAATTATAGCACCAAGATGTATATTTTTATTTCTGTTCTGTTTTTGTTTTTGGTTTTTTTGTCCTGTGGCAATGTCATGATGAAGTGTGGATCTTAAACCTTAGTAAAATAATTACATCTAGATTCTGAAGGCTCTCCCCTACGCCACCCCCATTTCTTTGTTCCTCATCACCTGCTCAAAAATTGGCACATCTATTAAACACCATGAACACTTGAAGAGTGATGTGTAAAATAACTTTAAAAATATTTAATCCTTACATTTATTGTTTAAGGGCAGTGGGAAAGTTACATGCTGACATCTCAAACTTGGTCCCAAGTGTTAGTCAGCATATACATAGGAGGGAAAGTCAAAAAAATATTGCAGCCATTTCACACATACACTAATTTATTCCAAACAAAACGTATTGAACTATGGCTCTGCCAACAGTAGATGTCTGCAGACAAGTTCCCTCAGTAATACACTTGTACATTAGTTTAATTAGGTGTGTTAGTCTGGGTTGACTAGAGAAACAAATCCAGAGACACTCAAATGTGTGGAAGAGAATTTTATATCAAAGAGTAATTGTACATTAAGAAAACATCCCAGCCCAGTCCAGATCAAGTCCATAAGTCCAATATTAGCCCGTATGTCCGATACCAGTCTGTAA